CGTTGTTTGTACCAACATCAATAGTGATTGGAAGGCACTGCATGTGAAAATATGTTTACATTAACATCAGAACTACAGAGAATCAAGCATATATGAAAATTTTCAGCAGCTTTTGTTTCAGTGCTTACAGCCGATGGACGGATCCCTCCCAAAGCTGTGTAAAGAGAAAGCTTACCAACTGGGATTCCCATTCCCTGTAAGAAATTTTTACAGCATTCAAAACCAACAAAAAGGTCAAAGGCATATCACACAGTGTTAAAAACTCTGCTTACCTGGCAACCAAGATCTCCAAGACCAAGTATACGCTCACCATCAGTGACAACAATAACTTGAATCCCTCTCTGTGGCCAGTTCTTCAACACTTCAAGAATCTTTCCCCTAAAATAAATGTCATTTTATACTTAGAGAAATGCAAATAATTGAATCCAAAACAGAATACAAAAGTGTTTAAATCCTCACTTCTCTTTCAAGCTGATGTAAAGACCTTGTGGCCTCCTGAAAATGCTCCCATACTTTTGACAAGCCTCCCCTACCGTCGGAGTGTACACAGCCGGAAGCAGCTCCTCCACATTATCAATCAGAAGCTTGTAAAACAACCTCTCGTTCCTCTCCTGAAAAGATTCCAAACTTTACATCAGCTCCTAAGTGTAACAACAATTGCAAAAAAAAAAAAAAACAGATCACCTGAAGATCCATGAGGGCCACGTAACGGTGCAGAGGAACCGTGTACTGACGGAGGTTATGCATCACCTTCTTCTCCTATATATTAGCCACAAAAATGAAATCAGCATAATCTCAGAAACAGGTGGGATCTTTGAATGATAAAAACGTAAGCCCTAAATAGTACCTGAAAATCTTGAGATAAGATGACAGGAGGAAGTAGACCAGTTATGTAATGAGCATCTCTCTCTTTATCAGTGAATGCTAGTCCCTTGTTGTATCTCGGGTCACGCAACAATGTATATCCACTGCGGGCACACACACACACACAAAAATAATCATTTGTACACAACCAATGTTCAAGGCTGATTACTACTCCCTCTGTTTCTAAATAAGTGTCATTTTAGTATTTTTTTCTTGTTATAAAAAGAGTGTCACTTTAGATTTTCAATGCAATTTTAAGCTAAAAATTAATTACAAATGCATTGATTTTATAAAGAATTTTAGTTTTAAAAAATCTTATTGGTCGAATTTGTGTAATTAAGAAAAATATAACACATTTCAAGAACTTTTTTAATCTGTGTGGAAAAATGTCAAAGTGACACTCTTTATAAAACCAAGGGAGTATTAGTTTGTTTGTTAACAAATTATTGATTTATTTTATATATTTATATAAGATATTTTATTTTTTTTGTCTAAACTGATTTAGAACAACGATTTAGAATACTTCAAAACATATTTGAGTAGTATAATCGGATTTATGAAAAGAATGTTTCGGTTATGACCAATTTTTAACCATGTACACAACAATTGTAACCCTAACATTGGCTCTTACTTCCACAAGAAGCAACAACATTGATTAAAAAATTATTATTTAAAAATAAATAAATAAACAAATCAAATCAATTTTGGATCTAGCGAAGAGGACAAGGGAAAGATCTTTTTTTGAGTCTAACCTAGCGACGGAGGTAACCCAAGGAGTGACGAGCTGATCCAATGTAGCGACATCTTCACCGTAGACATCTGAAATGCCGCCGCCGACGCCGGACATGTTCCCGGAGACGTAGTCGTCGGAGATCTGATCCTCATTGCTGCTCATTTTTGTTTTTTTTTTTGTTTTACAAAACAGAGAGAAAGATAGAAAGCTTTTTTTGATGGAAAGGTGAAGTGTTGGGAAGGAGATTAAAAGAAGAGAAGAGAATGAGATGAGTGGTCGCCGGTTAAGTAGGCGAAGTGAATGGTTTGGTTTTTTTCTTTTTGAGAGGTCTGAATAAAATGCGGAGAATGGTGTTTGGTTTCATCACACTCTTTCTATTGGTCTCCTCCTTTTTTGGAAATTTTCATTTTCACCAAAAATTTAATGCTTACAATTAAAGGTAGTTATATGAGTTTATAAATGTTAAAAATATTCCGATTAGACAAACAGGATATTTTAACTAAAAGTATTATTTGATCCCAAATAATTAAACACATCAAGAGAGAAAAAAAATTATATATAGAATTTGAGAATTGCTTGAGATAGAAGCTAACGGATAATTATTATACCGTAGCTACGAAACCACAACTACAACAAACAATCATGTGATATGTATGAGATAGATGAATTTCTAAAAACTTATAATATAGTTTTCTTTCTTTGGTTATAGTCCATTGTGTTTTTTAGCTCTTTTGTATATGTTTGTTTGATAGGGTTTTCTGCTTGTGTACTATCTCCAGTTCTGAAAACTCTTATTCTAAAACGATGGAATGCCACAGAAGATATTCTTTCAACTTTATTCGTTAATAATTAAATATGATGGATGAAGAATTTTTTTTTTTTATCAAAAAAAGAATTTTATTTTTATCAATGAAAGTACCAAATACTAGTGTAAGGTAGTGATTGCGTTTGAAACGCGATTAAAGTAGTTGGACAAGTGCAATGAGTATGTTACCAACAAGGATTTATGGGTTCAGGCTCTACGCATTAAAGCTGAAGTAAATGTAGTAGATGCAACAAATGCAACAACAATAATGGTTGATATGTTGTCGGTCCGAAGAAATATCAAAAGAAGCACAAGCTAGAAGATCGATGTAACAAGCAGAACCGGTCCTAGTATTTTTGAGGCTGCAAACATAACAAGTAAAAAGTGGCCAAAATATATTTTTGTAATAGGGAGGAATCGAATCCTGCCCTTAATGAAGTGACTAAAGCTTTTTCAACCACTAGACTACAGAGTGTTTTTGTTGATTTTGTGGCCGGTTGAAACCTTATATTTCGGTGGCTGGAAGCATATGCTTCATCCGCTTATATCAAGGGCCGGCTCTGGTAACAAGTCCCGCGATACATGCATCAGTCGAGTTGTTATTTAATTGTGTTGAGAATGTTTTATATTAAAAGCATCTCCAATGTAAAAACTCTATTTTTTTTCAAAATTGCTCCAACCACACTCCATTTTTACTTTATAATGGAGTGATGAACAAATAAGAAAAGATTACTCCATTTATGGAGTAAAATTTATATGGAGTTGGAAATGTAGTAGGGTTAGAGTGTTTTTACTCTTTTTTAGAATAAAAATGGAGTTGAGTTAGAGATGTCCTAAAAGATGTATTTCCATTTTTTATCTTAAGTTTGATTTGTGACCAAAACCATCGATTTAATGCATTTTGTAAAATTGAACCCTTTATACAACCCAATCAATATTGGATCCAGCTCACAGAGATTATCGATCTTTCTCTGAAGATTTCGACACTGATATGTTTACAGTGGCGAAGCTAGAAATAAATTTTGCTGGGTGCACTAAGTAAATGAAATGGTCTAATGGGTGTATTAAAGAAAGTTCTTATTTTATCGAATAATTTTCTATCATTTCACCTTAACTATAAAATAACAAAATTGGAAAAAAATAATAATGGGTGCACATGCACCCATTGTGTTGGCTGTGTGTTTTGTCTCTGGATGTTTAAAGAGCCATCATCTTCTTCTTTTTTTCTTTTTTTTTTATTTAAACGTTTTCATTAAGATAACTTAGAATTACAAGGACGTAATACAAACCAACCTATAGAAACAAAAGAAGAGGATCTGCTTAATCTAAAACACTACGAAGAGATCTTAAGGTAAAGAGCCATCATCTAGAAATGACATATAAGATATAAATTTCCACATCAAAACTTAGAAATAATTTAAAATTTAGGAAGAAATAGATGAATCTACTTATCACCAAATAATTTAAATGTTAAAAAATAATGCCATTAAACTTATTTAAAACCGCATCTTAATCTGTTTGGATTAGAAAATGGAGATATTATGAATCTTGGAAAAACTTATGTTGGAATTCTTCTTTAACTAAATAATTTTAGACCATTTTCGGTAAGTTTCCAGACGAAGATGTTCGTTGGAATAATTGAATGTTGGATACTATGAGCAATGTATCTACATGTCAAAATCGAAGTTAGTTTGAATGAGAAATGAACATTCAAGTAGGTTGCTTGTAAAGCCTAAAATATAACATTTGTGAAATGTTCTACTTCGAGAAAATAAAGTGAGAAATGAGATAGTTGGACGGAGTTCAAGTTCGAGCTCGGGATTTTATAAATGGGCTTACGAACTAAAAGATTAATTTCTTACACTCAAAATCATTTGTAAAGTAATGTTGAAAAATCAACAAATAACTATCTCATTTAGTTAAATTTTGTAACTTATTATTTTTAGTAACATAAAAATAATAATGTCATTAAGTAGAAAATTAATTTTCATTGAAAGAAAAATTTCTTCCACTATATAGAAAACTATTGGTGTTTCCGCGCTAGGGTTGTCTGTCATTTGTATTATTCACATATGCTATCTGTTCTTTTTTTAATTTTTCAATTTTGTTGAAAAGTATGTAATGTATTAGTTATTTGTGTCTTTGGGGATGAATTGTAGTAATGTGGTGCGATTTGTTTTTTGCAGTTGTATATATTTTCCTTGATAGATATTTGCTTGCTTTACAGTTAAACTCTTGAGTTTATTAATGTATTACTAGATTTTAATCCGCGCAGCCGCGCATGTTTTATTTTTATATATATAGAAATATTTATTTTACATTTTAGTGACGTTAGTCATATATTTAAATATTTATAAAACTATTACAAATACAATAATTTTATAATTCACATGTTAATAACAATTGTTTCAATCGTTTCTTATTATATATTTATCTTCTTGGATTTACATTTGATTATTAAATAAACTAATATATGCATAAAAAAATCATGTCTGGAGATTAGTTTATATTTAATTTATACTAAGTTAGCAAATTTTTCTGTTTATTTAGATCATATATTATTGTATATATAAAAGTTTATATGTTAATTTTATACATGGATTATATAATTACTAATGTTAACTTTTTCTGCCAGCATATTATGTTTTTAATGTTAATATTTTCTATTTATGAAAATAAAATAGATCAGTTTATCCATTTAACACAATTTTACTATAATAATTTTCTTTTAATATGATACATTATGATTTTATAAAAGATTGATAAAAAGGATAGAACTTTTATTTTTATAAAAGATAACTAAATATATGCATTAATGTATAATTATATTCTTTACTAATTTGAAATTAGTGAAATATTTACATAATTCTTTAAAAGTTAAGATCTTGTTAAATTTTTTTCAACAGATATTTTATAATTTTGAATATATATATCTATATTTAAAATAAAAAGATATCAAAATATATTATGATTAAAGTAGTTACAATTATTTTAATATTAGAATTAATGAAATACATATAGGAAAACATTTTAGTGATGGTTCATTTTTTTAAAAAAATAAATCACACATAAATCAAAATCATAACTTCTGTTTTAATATATAAATTATACACATTTTTTATGTAATATATATTTTTGATATGTTGTCAGTTCGAAGAAATATCAAGAGAAGCATAAGCTAGAAGATCGATGTAACAAGTCCCGCGATAGATGCATCAATCGAGTTGTTATTTAATTGTGCTGAGATTTATTTAAATTAAGAGATGTATTTTCATTTTTTATATCTTAAGTTTGATTTGTGACCAAAACCATCGATTTAATGAAATTTGCAAAACTGAACACTTTACACAACCCAATCAATATTGGATCCAGCTCAGAGATAGTTTATCGATCTTTCTCCAAAGATTTCGAAATTGATGTTTAAAGAGTTGTCATTTAGAAATGGCATATAAGAGATAAATTTCCAGATCAAAACTTAGAAATAATCTTAAATTATAGGAAGAAAATAGATGAATCTGTTTATCACCAGTTAATTTATAATTTTATATACTGAAAATAATGTCATTATACTTATTTAAAACTGTATCTTAATCTGCTTGGACTAGAAAATATGGAGATATTATGGAACTTGGACCAATTAACTTAACCCAATTTTATACAATCTGTAGAGAAATAAAATATTAAATCTTTGTCAAAAAAGTAAATTTTAAAAGAAAAGGATCATCGTTACACAAACACCAGTTAAGTTGAAAACGATATTGCATGCTGCTGGAGTTTGCTGGAAGTAGATGGAGAAGAAAAAAGGGTTTTCTTTCCATAAAGTATCACGTCGTTTAAATGCCAATAAATAGATGAGCAACTTGGTGATCTCTTTTATTCAACTAAGGAAATTAAACCACCTATTAGATGAACTTGGAAATATGATGAACATTTTGGGTTTGAAACCTACCATCTTAAATATATCCATTTGTGCAGCCAAATGATATAAATTTATAATTTTCATTGCGAGCAATCTGATCTACCTGATATCGGTGGACATATCCCATGAATTAGTCGGTTAGGTCTCGTCTCTCTGTAGCTCATGTTATAAAAGAAACTGATAAAATTACATCTATTTTTTATGGTTTTGTAAAAATATTTACGCTAGTTCTCTTCTTTCTTTTTTAAGGAAATAATGAAAACGTGAAAATATGTACGTACGTACGTACGTACATCTTTATATTAGCATTAAGCTATACCATATATTAATTAAATTTTATAGTGGTATGTTTTATTCAGCTACACCGTATATAAATATTCTAGACTAAATATATGGGCGCTTGTATTCGTTCGGATTGGAATCATATATTTCAAGTTTTTATGGTTTTGGATTCATTCTCATATGTATATATATATATATATATATATATATCATTCTAATATTTTATAAATGCGGCCAAATTCAAATAATAAGACTTAAGACTCAGTTCTAATTTGTAGTACATCGCAAAACTCATAAAGTAATTATGTTTATATCGATTCGATTTCAATATATCTGAGGTAAAAATAAAATTTAAAAGAAAATTAAAAGGAAAAGCACTTAAATCAAATACAAATTAGTCCAACTTATATTAAGTTGATAAAATAACAATAAAGTGTTAAATCAATCATGGAAACAAAAAAAAAAACAAATTGTAAAAAAAAATGCATTACCATATAGATAAAATAAACTTGTTATTTCAACTACCAAGTTATGAAATATTTACTTACAGATAAATCGATATTTCAGATATTGACTTAATGTTAATATTTATTTTTATATATCATACCAAAATAAGCATTAGATTGAATATTTGAAATATTTATACATGATTTAAATATTTATACTAATTATTAATTTTAGATTTTTGGTGTTATAATACCATGTTTATAACTATAAGATTATTTGGGTATTTATGCATTTTGGATAGAAAAACGGATCGAATTATTGGTTTCCGGTTTAGATCTCGGATTCCAGATTTTATGCTCATGCATATATATATATATAATATATTAGTTTTAGTTGTATTTAATTTCATAAGTCTATGTTCTTTCGGACAACTACCATTTTATTATATAGTATAATTTATTCAGATTATATTCTTTTGATTACCAGTTTCCTACAAGAGTACCATTATCTCATTATTTTTCTGTGATTTTCTCCACAGCCGTAAACTGAATATCTTCGAGTTGGAGCCTTGATAAGAAGAAAAAAAGCGTTACCAATTTCTTTATCAATACTAAAAACTTCATATTTCCCACTGACAAAAAGGGAAACTTTTTATTGGCTTTACCGTGTGGTTCAAGATATACATGTGAGGTTGGTCCTTTTTAGCTCATTAAATAAAAGCTAAATTGTTCATGCTTTTATTGGCAGGCCAAACACAAAAGTAGATAGGGAAACAGAACCCTCGAGACCGTTCTCTTAACAATATAAATACGCATGATCATATTGAGCAACAAACATAACAACATAGATACAAGTAACTATTACACACAACAAAACAGGATCGAAACCACCAAAAGACCAACCATACTCATGGCCCCCATTCAACGCACTTTCTCAGATATCTCACACCAAATATCAACAGACAACACACTAACAAAAGACCCAACTCCAACCGCAACCACAACAACTTTATTGTCCCTAGCAGCGATATCCGAAGTGGAAGATGCAAAGTGCGAGTGTTGTGGCATGTCTGAAGAGTGCACACCAGAATATATAAGCCGTGTTCGTTCAAAATTCTCAGGTAAGCTGATTTGCGGGCTGTGCGCCGAAGCGGTGGAGCAAGAGATGGAGAAGATGAACAACAGTGAATTAGCTGTGGAGAAGCGGCGTGAGGAGGCAGTGAAGGTACACATGAGCGCATGTGCTCGGTTCAACAGGCTAGGCCGGAGTTATCCGGCCTTGTTTCAAGCAGAAGCCGTTAAGGAAATTCTCAAAAAGAGGTCTAAGACGATGGTTAGACCCCCCAAGTCTGAAAAAGGTGGTCTCGCTAGGAGCTCCAGCTGCATGCCTGCTTTGGCTAAGGAACTAAAAGATCGTACGTTGGTTAATTAGTATATTATATATATACTCAAGTTATGTTCATGTATGTTTTTCGATAAAGCCGTTTACCTATATGTTACTATATATGTTCATATAAAGATAAAAGTTACATGTAGAGAGGGATAAGGGTGTAACTTAGTTATAAGTACGTAGTGAAGAAACTGATGGAAGTATACCAAGTATTGTATTTTTTCCCCCGTGTGATGTATCATTAAATGTTCGTTTTTCACTCTTATATATTTGTGAATAAAACATTTAAAGAAAGGAGGCTTTAACATCAAAGGATGGGAGTATGTAGAATTGACTATATATTACTGGCCGGTAAGAACCCTTGATAACATAAGATTAGAGAATCCTTCAACTCTATAGTTTTTATTTTGGGGTATAAATATTAAGATCATGATGATACTTAAATGATAACATAACCCTAAAGGGAAAAAAACTACAAAAACATAACCCTGAAGGATCCAGCAACTCTATAATAGAGTACTTAATATAAATAGATGATAACATAAGCCTTATAAGTAACAATTCCTTTCTAAAAATTCAGCTAAGATACACCATAATGATCTACGGATCAGCTGCAGAAGTCCATTATAATGGAAACCATATAAGTGAAACACGGATCAAAATAAACAATACTGAAAGCAAATAGACGTCACGTTGCTATTACACGTTAGAAACAGCTCACGGTTCTGTAGAGCAGAGGCTTTGGGCTTCTCGGTTACTTTCAAAGAAGCATGAGCCATGAGGGGTTTCGTTTAGGCCCGATTAATTTTTAAATGGTATTGCACCACGAGTCTTTCGCTTTTGACACGTGAGGGGCACTCTTAGGCACTACTACTTCTTCGGCCACGCTCACGCACTTCTCACTTCTCAGGATCCGTTGTCATAATTACCATATAAAGGAAGATAACATAAATTAAGTATAACAATAAATGAATGATGTAATATTCAAAAGCACGAGTCTGATTCAAGCTATCACTAATGTAAAATAAAAATATAGGATTCTAATAGCAATACGAGATCGATGAATATGTGATGAGCTATGTACGAAGAGTCATAAACCTTATCGGATCCGTTGTTTCAAAGGACGCTCGCGTAGGGGTTGGCGTAAGACTGAAAGTTGGGTCCCACGGAACTAGGGTCTTCACTAGACACGTGTTACAAGTAAGCATGCACTCATGTGAAACTTAAGTGAATCGCTTCTCTCAAAACACAAACGCTTTGATTGCAAGCATTTGTAGAGGTTGTTTGTGACTTTGGATGCGCAAACTATTCTAAACTATAAGAAAGATACCTAAGCTATATGTTATACATAAACACCTTACACAAACACATACATCTATAATTAAGATTTATGTCTAGGTTGTTCATGCAGAGAGCTAATTGGTTTATTAAAGATACGCACATATAAATTTCCAAAAGTTTATTTAGAAATAGATTATTTCGATCTTCGTTTAACTCAAAATATTCTTATCTTGCTCTTATTTTTGTTGTAATCGAGTTTCATAATTGTTACTTTGATACGCACTTTCAGGACTTATGAACGGTCTAGTAGATTTTTATTTTTAAAACAGTCTTGTAGATTGACTATATATATAACGAGCTCCATTGACAACACCAATCCATTAGAAACTTGACCATTTAATTTTTCTGTCTTCTTTACATTTCTTCCATACAAAACCTTATCATAGTTGCTCATAGTATATGCTTCTCATAGCCATTGTGCTAATTTCTTTACAATACTGATAGACAGCATATTCAAGATAGATAAGATTTATAAGCTTCCTCCTCTCCATCAAATTAATACCATAGTAAATCACTCTTTTTGAAGTGGTTACGATGTCTGATATTCAGGAAACAGACTTGGATTCTAGTATGACTCGCCATTTGTAATAGTAGGTGTTAGTTTAATATTGTATATGATTTAAAATTAGGGGTAAGAACAAGAGGGTTAAGACCAGGTCACACTCTTTCTGATTACCTGAGCTGGAAATTGTCGTGCCTAAAAGTGGGGTAGGATGAAGGAATAAAGAGATTTAACATGTGATTAAGACGAACGTGTAAGATAACAATAGCTACCTAAAGATTTTTTAACTCTTAAAGTTATTCTTATACAAGTCCCGAGGAATATTGTTCAATGGGGTAGATAATCGAATCGACTTATAGAATGTTTTGATTTCACAAATCTTTTATTTTAACTCAACCAATACCATAAGATAACATAAGAACAACGGAGACGTTCTGATTTCAAATTGACAAAGGGTTACAATCCCATTTGAGCTAGCGTAAAGGCTAAAATTAAAAACGAAGCAATATTGTGAAATATTATTACACATTCAAGATCTAGTTTCACTAGTGACTACTATGAAAAGTCACATAATATGATAATCTGTAAAAAACTGCTTAAATAATGCCGTGACTTTCTTTCTGAATTCTAAGTGAGATATTAACTCAGAGCAAATGATTTATACACGTTTATCAAGACAATCCACAACTAGACCACCACAAATCTGACTACCAAACTTATTAAATGACTTAAATGTATATTGTATACTACATAGTTTTCATACATATTAATAAAACATACTCTCTCCATTTCATATTAAGTGTCGTTGTAGAAAAAACATTTGTTACAAAATAGATTCAATTTTCAATTTTCAATGTAAAATTTATTAACTTTATTTTGTAATTTATTTTTCTATTGGTTGAAATATGATTAGGTGTATATGTAGTTGTATTTTCATATAGGAAATATACAAAACTAATTTTTCATAAATTTAAAATGACACTGAAAATGAAAATATTAATTTTAGTTTATAAATGTATTATTATGTGTTTAACTATTTCTCATAACTTTTATCCAATAAAAATTCAATAAACATAATTAATTTTGTTGAAGTTTACAATTTAACATTAGTACTTAATAAAAGTTGCATTGAAATATAAAAAATATCTCTTAAAACAAAATATATCTTTTAAACTATGGATCCTTGAGTAACAAAAGGAGTATGTAATACAAATTGTTGATTACTGCACATATATACCATGATGAGATTATTCAGTATAAACCGCATTTCATATATTTGCGTTTAGTTTTGGACTTTTGGTGGATGATTTTCTAGAAAATTATACCTCTTCCGTTTCATAAAAGATGTTATTTAGACACACTTCACACATATTAAAAAAAATGATTGAAATGCATTTATATTTTCATTAATTACATATATTTAACCAATATTATTTTGAAGATATTTATAAAATCAATGTATTTCACAATTAATATTAATTTGAAAGTAAATAAAACTTGCATTATAATTTTAAAACGACACTTTTTATATAACAAAAAAAATATTAAAGTAACACTCTTTAAAAACCGAGGGAGTATTAAATACTTGTAAGCCCCATAATTCATATACAAATAAAGTAAGTTTATATGTTAGTGGCATTTGTTAGTTTATATGAATCATGATTAGTAAACTAATCTTTGAATTGACAAAAGGTTTGTATCGCTGCGGTATGATAAGTTGATAACCGGAAGATACAACGATGATTTCCCTCCAATGTACATGATTTGATAACTGTACCGTATATTCAACAAGAGCGTAAACTCAATCCGGTATTGAATAGATTTACATACAATGTCGACAAACCGGACCGGTTTCAACTTCCCCAAATGGTGTTGTCGCTTATCGAGTATTGATAATCAACGGCGTGATCATCATCCAACACATGCACGTGAGGGGTACTTTCTGTAATTTTGAAGCAACGTTATGACTCTTTTAGCAAAGTTGTCCCCACCACTAATACCACAATTGCACATGTTTGATTCATTAATCTCTTAGTTATGTCTTGAATATTTATGCATTCACTATCTTCAATAAATCTCAACTAAAATCAATATTTTAGTTTGATATTTTTTTGTGTGTTTAGAAGTATACGTGTAAAAAATTTACCAGTACATATATCGATCACATTTGTAAAACTAAATCAATATATCCATTAGTAGATAGGAGAGTTATGTTAAATTGAGGTAAAAATAAGATATGTTTCTATGAAAAACGTGGCTAATCATATGTTTGTACAAATAAAAAAAATATGGAGAACCAGCTGGGAAAATCAATTATAATTACAATTTATTGAAAATTAAAACTAAAATAGGAGGGTTAATTATTAGTGTAAGCAAATATTTGCCAATAAAATCTCCTTTGTCCTCGTCAAACCTTCCGATTTACATGTATGATGATTTATCTCTTGTCCCCTTCAAACGCTATAAAAATGAAATAAAATAACAAAATTAAAATATTTTTTTTTATCTTTCTACAGAAACCATGACTTTCGCTAACTTTACTCCTTTTTAAACTCACATTTCCCCTCACTCCACTCTCTCCTCTCCTCTCTCTACAAGAGCTCCGGCTACAGTTCACCGTAACAACCCCACCGGAGAAAAAAAAACAACCTTCTAGAATTTCATGGAAGAAGAAGCTCATGAATTCTTACACACAGCTGATCATTTCGCCGTAGATGACCTCTTGGTGGATTTCTCAAACGATGACGACGAGGAAAAAGATGTCATTGTTGATTCTGACGGTGCCAACACTTCCCCCACCGTAGCCGACAGCTCTAACTCCCCCTCCTTCTCCGCCGCAAGTCTCCCTAATTTACAAGGTGACGTTCATGACGGTACCAGCTTCTCCGGCGACCTTTGCGTACCGGTAATTTTAAAAAATTAATTTCATAATACGACTTATTAGGGAATTAATTAAAAAAAAGATTTGATTGTTGGTAATTATTTGATTTTAGGACATAAAATAAATTATATGTAATTGTGATTAGTGAATTTCATATAATTTAAGGAAAGTTTTATTGGTTAGTCGATTTTTTAATTTATATTGAAATATTTGTTTGATTATTTCGTTCGGACAGAGTGATGAGTTAGCTGAGCTGGAGTGGCTGTCGAACTTCGTGGAGGACTCGTTCTCGACCAACGATGTACAGAAGCTACAGCTAATATCCGGTTACAAAGCCCGACCCGAGCCCAAACCCGAACCCAGTCCAGAAAACCCGAATAGCAGCAGTCCGATATTCACCGCTGACGTCTCAGTGCCGGCCAAAGCCAGGAGCAAACGCTCACGCGCCGCAGCGTGCAACTGGGCCTCACGTGGGCTTCTCACCGAGCCCATTTACGACAACCCGTTCACCGGAGAAACCATTCTCTCCCGCCACCACCTCTCTCCCCCGACCTCGCCGACGTCCA